TACAGCAGTCGGCTTAATTAAATGGCACAACAGGCAGCTCTCTTTTATCACATACTTTTAAGAAGGGATGGACGTTTGGTTCAAGTGATAGGCCAGGTAAGTGAAATTATATTATCTTGCTGTATGTCGTTGTCTTTAGGTTTTCTCACTAAAAGCAACCAAAAAGCCATTTTAAAGTGGTTAAGCAAATAATAATAATAATAATAATCGGCAGGGATCCCTGACCAATACCTCTGCCTCCTCTATTTTAAAACCCACGAGCCGCCACTGCCCAATTGTTATATCATATTACATTGATGCTTTATAATACATTAGATCAGAGGATTCACTTCAGGATGCACATTTTACATTGGACATCAAGTGGCGAACCAGTGCATGGGTGCATTTTATTATTTGCTTTAAGCATTGCATTTGTTTCCGGCTGCACCTGTAGGGAAGCGTAGTGTAAAATCCTCTCTGATGGTGGAAAGCCACATCCCTCATTCCTACTATGGCTGTAGATTTGGTTTCATATTCTGTAAGGTCCTCTACGGTTGTCAAGATCCAAGAGCGCAGGCCAAGCCTTGTGATGTGTGTGTGTGCGTGTGTGTGTGTGTGTGTGTGTGTGTGTGCGTGCGTGGTGTGTGGTGTATTTAGAGGGTGGGGAAGACACGGGGCCTTTTCTCTTGACTAAGTGTTTGGAGGTGTTTAGTTAATAATCAGTCATGTTTTATTGACTATATTGCTATAGCAATGAGAATGTGCAGTATGAAGTAAACCAATGATGTTTGTGTCTCCATACACAAGTTTGTTATTATATGTCCCACTAATAAGGTGAAAAATAAGGCCTTAAAGTATTCAAATGTTTTTTTTTTTTTTTCTTTTTGAATAAATGGCCAGTGAATGTAAATATTATGTTTAGTTAATTAATAATCATAGTTAATTAAAATGTAAAATTTATATTTAATTTATTACTTTTTTTTTTTTACTACAATGAATTATCCATTCAAAATAATCAAATTAACAACATTCTTGTATGATTTTACTCTATAAGTTTATTTCAAGACCTCTTAAATGGTACAGGTGCAAATCCTCATTGTCAGAGCTTAAGGTATTTTATAGTATATAATAGTTGATCTAATATTCTTTAGTTCCCACAACACAAAAAAACCAAGGAGATTTATGGCGTCCAGTGCTTTTTATAAACACTTTGGACACCGGAGTATACCTTATTTATGGAAAGTTATATGTGCGTGTTCACATTTACATATTCTCTGTTTTCTTAAAGGAGGAGTTCTTGATTTAAAGACAATGACGAAAGTTAATTGAGTCATTTTGCTATGAAGGAAGAGCAAATATTATACATTAACTGCTGTATTATTGACACAGTCATGGCTGTTGAAGAAAAATTTCATTGACATTTCCTGACTGTAAGGCTTGCTTTAAGATCTTTCAGCATGTAAGATGGCAGTAGGCAGAATGTAGATATGATTCACTTGTCTTTGTTGTGAAGTTAGTCGTCATGCGCACCGCGTGTGTGTGTGTGTGTGTGTGTGTGTGAAGGGCAGGTGGCACATCGTATCTCTGTTGAAAGAAGGGGCTGAGGCTTTTGTCAAGCTCCCATTAGTTTGAATTCGTCTCTTCCCCTAAAATACAATACATGCATATATACAAGCCTCTAACAGCTGCCCAAACCAATGGTTACCTACATAGGTGAGGTCACAGCATTCTAAATCAAGTCAAGGCTTTTCAGTATCATGGAAACTAATCAAATGTTGCCTAGTTACCACATTAACATGGCTGTTAAGCTCTAAACCCCTGATTCTGTTTTGTTTGCATTGCATTTACTACAGAAGTTAGGCAGATTGTCAAATATTCAAGATATATTTACATTGACTTTGCTGGCAATGTGAAATTATCCAACATTGTCAATATTGCTGTGATTTTTAAACACACGTTTTGTTTAGCCGACAGGTTTCCTAAAGATGACTAGTTTTGTGATCCCTGTATAAGACAATTAAAACCGACATTATTAAATACATAATTTACCTAATCAAAAATTGTTCAAAGTCCCTTTCTGGCATTTTACGTGTTTGAAAAGTTTTATTAAAAATATGTGGAGGAAAATATTTAAATGAAAATATTACAGTTTGCTAAATTAATATAGTGAACGCAGTCTAGAAAACATTATTTTAAAATAGATATGATTTCTGAATTTTACTTGCATTAAACCTTGTGAATCTGTATGTATTATTATTATTTTTTTTATAGATTTTGTTTTAAATTTTTATATTACATCGTTTTTGTTGCACTATTATATAATTTTGTGTTGCACTTATGTTAAATATAATGGTGAAATATCCCATTTATTTAAAGTCTTTCAGCACTCTACTGGAATATTAGACTCTTCTAACAAGAAATAACAGCAATGAGTCATTAAGAAAAATAGCTCATGAAGTTGACGATAAAAGCATAAAGCAATGAACGCTTTCAGCAAACCATAGGGTTTCTGCTGTACAGTGTTTTAGGAAAAAAATGCTTTTAGATATATGTGTGTGTGTGTTTATTGAACTAAAAGAATACTGAAAAGAGACGTTGATGGCTGTATTTTCTTGTATGTTGTTCATCAGGACACAGCAGGGCAAGAGAGGTACCGCACTATTACCACAGCGTACTACAGAGGGGCCATGGGCTTCCTGCTAATGTATGACATCACTAACCAAGAATCCTTCTACGCTGTGCAAGACTGGTGAGTTTACTTCCTTTATTTAAAGTCTTAGAGTCAGATGCTAAATCACAAAGTAAGACGTCCTACTATGACCCCAGGTAGTGAGAATGATTGAAAGGTCAAATGTTCCTTGTTAAAGTGCCGCACATTTCATAATGGTCCCAAAGGGGGCGGACACGAGCACGTTTTGAGCATGTCAGTATTGACTGTATTCAGAGGCGGACTTAACCATTAAGCAAAGGTAGGCGACCGCCTTGGGCCCCCAAAAGCCAAGGGCCCCCTAAAATGCTTTTTATATGCGAGATGCGCGTTCAGTGCTGACGCACAAGTGGTTGCTGTGGTGTTCATTACCACGACAACCGTCTGTGCGTCCGCGTTGAACGTGCTTCTTAGCAAAAGTAGGGCGATGTAGAAAATGGGGACGGAATCCCGGAATCTATTCATAAAAACGGAATTTACTGTGTAACACGGAATGTGACGGAATGAACGGCACAGACGCGCGTTTCGTTTGCTAGTTTGCTATTGAAGCCCGTTGTCGTCTGTAGTAGCTAAATAGTATTTTTGCCATTTAATATTCACTTACACTAGTCCATATCGCAGTTTGATTGAAGAGTGAAGTTTGATTTATTCATACTCAAGGTTGTAAATGTGTGAAATTGTATAGGGCCCCATTCCTGTATTTTGCCTGGGGCCCCCAAATCACTAAATCCGCCCCTGACTGTATTCGTGTGTGTGTGTGTGTTCCAGGGCGACTCAGATTAAAACGTACTCATGGGACAACGCTCAGGTGATTCTGGTGGGGAACAAATGTGATCTGGAGGACGACAGACTGGTGTCCAGAGAGGACGGCCAGAGACTGGCTAATGAGCTAGGCATGTTACAGGACCATAAAAAAACATCATTCACACACACACACACACACACACACAAAAGCCTGTAAATGGAGACTTGAGCATGCACAGGTTCCAAACTTATCTTTTTTTGCAATCCCTGCCAAAAAAAAAAATATATATATATATATATATTTCTAATTGGCTATGAAATTGTATTCTGCATTATTTTTTACATAGTCATATGTGCCATATTTATAATACTTTTATGGTCCTTTCTTGTCATTTTGGAGTTTTACAGACCCAGTTGCCTTGGATTTCTATTATATAACATTGAGTTGCATGGATATTCTTCAAAAATTTACCCTTCTGTGTTTCACATAAAAAACAGGCTTGAAAGGACATTATGGGGAGAATAAATTATTTTAATTTTGGGAGACAAATTACTTATTTAAACCATGAAATGTTGATGTTCCAAATAAAGCTGAGGGCCAAATGCAATTTAATTTAAAGCCAAATGCTACTCTCATTCAGTGCTTGGCGAGTGTTCATTTTGGACCCTGTTCATGCTACATCACCCTCTGAATTTCCTTTGTGCTTCAGAGCCTTATATGGACAAAAAAATACAGGAAGTAATGATACAGGCATTTCAAAGTACTGGGAGCAAATGTGTTGCTCAAAGGGTGTGAATCTACTTTTATTGCCCAATAGATGTTAGATATAATGCATCATGTAGTGTAGTATTATACTGTATGTTGTGATCGACCAGTATGGATTTTTTGATGGCTGATGTAAAATGTGTGTGTGTGTATATATATATACAGTGGGTACGGAAAGTAATATGGGGTGCTGTGTGTACATTAATGAGGAAAAAAAATTAACTTAAATGATTTTAGCAAATGGCTGCAATATAACAAAGAGTGAAAAATTTAAGGGGGTCTGAATACTTTCCGTACCCACTGTATACACACTATTCAATTTAAAGATAGCATTCATAACAATTTCTGTAATTACATTTATAGTTATTTTACATAATATTTACAAAAAAAAATGAAAAGAAATCAATTTGGAAAAAAAATTGGATTAAAAAAAATGTGAAAAAATTTTACAAATTTGTAAAATAAACAGATGACTTTATACTTATTTTAACCAACTTTTACTTCATATAGAAATAATGATTTTGTAACACAAGCTGGATTCACCAACATTTGCGAGGTTCATAGCTTTAAATATTTATTTGAAATTCAGAGATTTGTTTAAATGATATAAAAGTGTATATCTAACTGTATATGAAATAGTATTATAGCATTTGCATTTCATTTATTATAACTGTTTTAAAAGGCAGTAAACTAATGAAGTTAGAGAATAGGTGCTTTTGTGTGTCTGTCAAAATAAAAGTCCCACTTATAGGCCAAATAGAAAAACTGATCAAAGTGTCATTACTAGCAGAATACATTATTCACATATAATTAGTGGCCAGCCAATATTTGCAGTTTTTTAAATGATCCTGAATGGCCCTTAATTATATGTGAATAATGTGTTTATTCTGCTTGTAAAAAAATTGCTTGGGGTTAGTAAATGATACAATTTTATTTAAATACAATTTTTGTCACATTTCATACTTTGTGTGTGTGTGTGTGTGTGTGTGTGTGTAGATATATATGAAACTCTCTTTCTCTGCCGTCTTTTTGCAGGCTTCCAGTTTTTCGAGGCCAGTGCAAAGGATAACATTAACGTCAAGCAGGTGTTTGAGCGGCTGGTTGACATCATCTGTGACAAAATGAACGAGAGCTTGGATGGAGACCCGAGCATGTTAACCAATCACAAAGGCCCGAGTCTGCAAGACACACCCCCTGATGAACAGAGCGGCTGTGGATGTTAATTATCATCTCTCAACAAACACTCATACTTGAAGGCAAACATTCACACACATGCACTCGCTCACTCCCTCTCTCTCTTACACACATGTACACCAGAAGAGACTCTTTCACAAGTGTACTGCCAATGTATAGGATGAAATGCCAACCAAACAGTAAGAATATGGCATAAGCCCCTTAAAATGAATCATTTTAGTTACATAAACAGGCCCCTCAGGGATTGAATGAAATGGGATGGGTTTATCTCAGTGTGATGTGTGGCTGCCAATACACTGAACTGCGATATCATGATGAGAACAGCCGGGAAAATACTGCATGAAACTGCAGGAATCAGAAATTCACATGCCAAAGTCTCAGCTTTTTAGGAAAGTTTCAATCTACTCCAGTGTCTGTTTACAACATGCGCAGATAAAATGCATCTGGTTGTCATTGTGCAGTAGCTTTGAAATTTATACTGATTATTTTAATGGATGCAAGATGGATGCATGTTTTACTTCAATATAGGTGATAAAACATTTTAGGACTGCTCTGGAAGTATCCAGTCCATATGATTGTCAGTCTAGTTTTTGTTACTTGTTTCAAAGTATGTCCTTAATTCAGATTATATTTGTCCTTGCCATTTGCTTTGAACGCAATAAATTTGCTTCCCTGTGGACACTAAAGGAGTATTAATATAATGTATATATTGTGTGTGTGTGTGTGTGTGTGTATACTTAAATTGAACAGCTAAGGCTAGTTATTATATATTCTTTATATAATATATGAAAAATATATTTATTTAAAAAAATACATTTAAAAAATGTGTGTGTGTGTGTATACTTAAATTGAACAGCTAAGACTAGTTATATATTTATATAATATATGAAAAATATATTTATATATTTATTTAAAAAAATGTGTGTGTGTGGGTGTGTGTATATATATATATATACACACACACACACACTACCAGTCGAACCTTTTTGAACAGTAAAAAGTCACTTTTAAAAATAACTTTTTTAAATATAAGTTTATCTGCATTTGTTGTTGACCTGTCTGCTCTTACTGTAAGACATTTGTTTGTGGTCATTGTGCATGGTACATTATTTCCTTTTGCATGAACCTTGTACACTTGTGAGGATGTGAGCTTTTAGCACCTCTAGAAGAACCTTGTGTAGGTGGGAAATGCACAGCATCAAAATAAAAGCACGACCACATTCTCTAAGGGTGGATGTGGAGAGAACATTTAAGAGGAGCCAAAACATACACATCTATGCCAGAATCACTTCTCCGCTCTGGAACTGCTTGATACCGCTGCTGATCTGTCAGGACGCATCCCACTGGTGTGAGTATGTCTTTCTGCCTGTACCAAAGTTTGGATACTATAAGGTGCAAGTTCCTCAAATGAGAGTTCCCTTGACACAAATGAAATTTCTTTGAGTGGATTTGACAGGCATAAAACGATACGCTGTTTCCGTTCAGATCAAATCACAACAACGGAGGAAACCGATCCGGCGTGACGCGGCTGACACAGAACAGCATACGCTGTTTACAGGGTGATGCGAGCTCTCAGATTCCATCAAAAATATCTTTGTGTTCCGAATTTGTGTTCCGAAGATGAACGAAGGTCTTACGGGGTTGAAACGACACGAGGGTGAGTAATTAATGACAGAATTTTCATTTTTGGGTGAACTATCCCTTTAAAGACATCCAAAAATGAAAATTCTGTCATCATTTACTCACATTCAAAAGAAGATATTTTGAAGAATGTTGGTAACCAAACTATTACTCCATAGTATGGAAAAAAATTACTATAAGTCGATGGCTACTGTCAGCTGTTACCAACATTCTTCAAAATATCTCTTTTTGTGCTCAACAGAAGAAAGAAACTCATAAAGGAGTAAATGATGACAGAATTAGCTTTAATACAACGTACAAAGTTTGTCTTGACACACTTTTCTAGTTTTAACTGACATCTCTTTTTACCACAGTTCAAAAACAACAACAGCATGAAGGTGACAAGATGTTTAAAGCTGGTTTCCACCTTCTACAGCTTCCTCACTGTAAGTAAATGTAATTTGGTATATAATGTGTAAGTAGCCCACTAATAGTGAATGAGCACCTCCAAATAAATTATTCACATTTTCTTTCTCTTTCACACGCTGTAGTTGAGTGGGGGGCGCGACTGCAGGATTTGGTATATGGTCACAAATAAACAAAAAAACATCTGAAGTGTTAAAAACTGTTGATGATACTACGTTCAAGTTCAAGTTCAGTTTTATTTCTATTTTTAATATAAAATATATATATATTTTTTTTTATATACTTTTACTCATTTTGATCAAGACAAGAAGACATTAAAATGTCAAATTTTTGTAAAAAGATTCAATTATTAACCAGAAATTAACCATCAGCCAACCAACCTTGCTTTTCTGGTCACCAGAAAGAAAATTCATTGAGCAGCTTAGCGGTCAAATTTGTTGAAAGTCTTCAGAAGAACTATAACCAAGACTCATCGATCACTGGCATATGGGATGAAACTATGAACAAGGTAAGACTAGCCTTCATGAATGTCAGCTGAGTTCCTTCTAATAAGTATTACACTTTTTTTATGAATTTTAGGTGAAATGCTGTGGATACAAAGGCTATGATGACTTCACAAATTCCACTTTCGTAAAGAAGAACTCGTACTATCCCACACAATGCTGCGGTAAAGATTCAAATTCAAAATGTGTTAGAGAAGAAGCTGTGAAAGAGGTACTGCCTCACTGTGACCAAAAATATAGCAAAAAGATTATGAATACATATTTTCATGATACATTCATTTCGTTCCTGTTATAGAAAGTGAAGGGCTGCATTCATGTGCTGTTGGACGAAAATGTACCCGTGTCTGGAGCTTTGTCCTTTCTGATCGGCATTATAGAGGTAATATGTGACCCTTGAAGTACTTTTCTCACTGTAAAAAAAATTCCGTAAAATTTACGGGAAAAAAAACGGCAGCTGTGGTTGCTGGAATTTTACCATAAAAAATACGGTAGCAACGTTTTAGGTTTTACGGTTTGAACTTAAATTTACAGTTAAATACCGTAATTTCATTAACTGATATAATGTTAATATACCAACCTATTGAAGTACTGAAATCTGTTTTGTACCACTGATATCCACCAAATGCAGGTGGTGATGAGAAAGTCACATGATGAACCAAAGCCCATCATAAGCAGCTTTTAAATAATAACATATATAGAAGGTGCACAGTGTCATTCACACAATCACCAAACACCATCATCGTAACACACATGAAACTGAAATAATGCAATAAACATTCATTTAACAACATTAGGTGTAACAGTAACACACAACCCTAATATACAAAACTGCTAAGAAAAAAACAATACAGTTTTTCACCGTATATAGTAGGGGAACTTACCGTTAACCATTTAACAGATTTTTACTTGTAGTCTTTTACCATTAAATTCATGGTCGTTTTTTACAGTGATGGAATGAGTTTTAAATCATGCATCTTGTATTTTAGTAATCTATATCAGCAGTGATGGATCTCACAGAGAGAGCATTACTGGTTCAGTTACTGCAGTTATCTTTTCCCTGAAGGCATCATACTCAAAATAATAATCACTTCATGATGTTGAATATTTATAATTCAACTTCAACTCTGTTTTCCAGATTTTTGCCTTATTCGTTTCGCTGAAAGTCTACCCATGCTTGAGACGCGTACCTGATCTCCCAGAGCAGTTTAAAAATAATCTGTGATAAACCACGACTTATTTTTTTTAATTTATTAAATCTGTGGAAGTTTTTTGTTTTTTTATTATTGCATTTATATACAGTGCAGTGCCTTCAGAAAATATTCACATTTTGTTATGAAACGTGTGAAAACAAAGGTAAATATCAAGATGAATATAGCTTATTTCTTATATTAAAAATATTATTTACAGTCATCTAGAGAAATGTAACACTTTCATTTTCAAGTTTTTAGCAACTTGACTTAATACACTGACATTCATAATGAACAACACGACACTGTAATAAAGAACAGCTGTTCAACTTTAATAACCATGATTAATAAACTTGATAATGAAGTCATAAAACATTTCTGTGAGTAAATCCTGTTGTGGAATCATTAAAAGCTGGAAAACTGAAATAGTTTTATTCAATTATATTAACTTCATCACATTTACATTTAATCATTTAGCAGACGCTTTTATCCAAAGCGACTTATAAATGAGAAGAGCAAATAGAAGCAATTCAGACCAATAGCAGGGCAACAGTATACAAGTGCTGTAACAAGTCTCAGTTAGTCTATCAGAGTTCTTTCTGTTCCTATAATAAGAATACAAGCTTCTGCTTTGACATTTGACCAAAACCTTCATTTCTGTTGTAAACCATAAAATATGAAAAATAACTGCATAGCTTTATTTGCTGTATGTTGTCTTTTTTATATTGCACTTATGGATCTAAAAGCACCAGAAATCTTACAATGCTGCAATACTGCCCACATGAGGATCATTTCCATCATTGCAGTTTGGATCACTATCAAACCTAATTAGCATCTGAACGCTATTATTCCTATTCATAAGAACATTGCCTGTGTCATATTTATTCTTTCAATTATTGTTTATATATATTTATATATTATGTGTGTGTGTGTGTGTTCAAATTAGAATTTTCCACATGTTGCTACTTTATTCTAGACATGAACTCTATTCTAGAAACTAGAAAAAAAATAGATCGATTTCAGTGCTGATTATCAATGTTCTGTCACGATTACTTTATCATACCATTCATTTTCAGAAGAATCTAAAAATACAGTTTAAAAAATGTCAAATAATCTTCAGGCAAGAGCATCCACACTTTCTGATTGCATGTATTAATATAAAGTGATCATGTTGCTCAATGTGGGAAAAAAAAAAATTCCAGGTGTGTTTGGTCACTCTTTGACCTTACTTCCTGACCCTGTGACCTCTGACCCTAAACCTACACACTGACATTGAATTTGAGCATTAGAGGGCAGCCACTGCGAATCTGCCAGCATCCGCTTTCTTTCTGAATTCTCTGAGAATATCGAGACTTCAAGCGATGGGACCAGTCAGTAAAGATACTGCTTCTGCTTTGCTATTGGTCGGTTGTGGTTTTGGGGTCATGACCTTTGCCGGGTCACTGATAGGCTGAAAAGAGAAGAAGTCGGGTACAGAGCGGTTGGTGGCGCTTGAAGAACAGAACTGAGACTTGATTCGGCGCAGAGCAAGAGAAGGACTCCTTCCTGCGGACGCCTGCGCTGTGGGTGGTGGGATTTTGGGCACTAGTGACTCTTTTTCCATCATTTTCTCGTCTTTCTCTTCATCTTTTCCATCTCTCTCAACTTGCTTGTGGAACTCCACATCGAACAGCGTGGCTGAGCTCCAGAGATGCAGTCGGGAGATGGGAGAAAGTTGTAGAAAGTCAACCATCACTGCAGCCTGAGTGCTCCACAGCTGCAGATGGTGCTCTGAGTGGTGTCCAGCCCGAGTCCAGAAGGCATGGATCCGGCCGTCCCCGCGCTCCTCCCCGGGCTCTTGTCTTCCTCATCCTCCGCGTCGGAGAAGGACGCGTCCGAGCTGACGGAACGCGTCAAACGCTGCAGCTGGGCGGAGGTGCGCCGTAAGGCTCCGCCCATAAAGCCTGTGGGAGAGGGGGCGGAGCCCAGGAGCCGGTTAAAGAGGGCGAGGTTGTGATTCCGTGTCACAG